AAATACATCTACATTGAAATATATAAAAAAAAGATACCTAGAGATTAATTTATCTGTTTGTGTACTGGTAAATTAATGATGAATTTTGTTGTCATTAATTGTCATTCTTACAGACAAAAAAAAAACAACCTTTTCTCGATGTTCAATTATCGCACATCTTAAAATGTTTTTGTTCAAGTTTCGTCCAAAAAAGAATTAAAATAAATAGGAACAGACAATAATAATAATAATAATAATAATAATAATAATAATAATAATGATGATGATGATGATAATAATAATAATAATTGACTGTTTCCTGTGACATCACAGTCGATTCCGAAGAAACTGAAATGAAGAGACTAATAGTGGGATCTGGTTAGGGTGTTGACAAATCTGTGAAAAACCGCTTAGAGAGAATTGGAATTGAGACGAAGATTGTATACCGCCAGAAAACTACACTCATATACTCAGCGGGATTCTCCGAAACGTTATTGAGTTTTGACGATCCATGAGCAGAATTTGATGTAGAAATTCTGCTCATGTTTGTTGATTCTCAACAAGACCTCAAAACTCGATAATAATAATAATAATAATAATAATAATAAGGTACAATTACAGAAACACCTCTAATAGATTTAGATTTTGTCACAAAGATTAGGGAACTGGAGCATGATGAAGCTTATAAGTACCTAGCAATTAGCGAAGGAGATTGCATACAACACCCGGAAATGAAGGAAAAAATAAGAAAAGAGTACTACAGGCGTGTGCGTCTGGTACTAAATACTGAACTAAACTCAAAAAACAGCTATAAACACATTGGCTGTTCCTGTGGTGCAATACAGCTTTAATGTCCTTAACTGGACCATAGCTGAAATTAAGCGAATGGACGCCAAAACGAGAAAGCTTCTCACTTGCTATCGCATACATCATCCCAAAACTGATGTTGATCGTCTGTATGTGCCCAGATCCGAAGGAGTCAGAGGATTAGTTCAACTAGAACTGTCCTACAAAACTACAACAATTAGCCTCCAAAGATACTTGGAAACTACAGAAGACTGGATGATGGTATGCGTCAAGGAACATGAAAGTAGTAAGCGTCTTTACTCCATAATGACAGAAGCCAACAAATTCAAAATGGAGTTTCAAATGGGCGTAGAGATGCAACTACAGCACAATACACCGGCTGAAACTGCAAAATACTTAAAAAAGACAGCAAAGACGAATGCAACCGACCAGATACAGAAGCGGTGGCAAGATAAACCGCTTCATGGCCAATACTCTGCCCGTAGCAAACACGCTGATGTAGACAAAACCCGTACCCATCAGTGGCTACGTAGTGCAGGATTGAAAGCGGAAACTGAAGGTTTTATCCTTGCTGCGCAGGACCAATGCTTGCTAATTAGGAATTATCAAGCACATATACTAAAATATTGTGTCAACCCAAAATGCAGATTCTGTGATAAATATCCAGAAACGATTTATCATCTTGTATCAGGTTGCACGATGTTGGCACCCACTGAATATAAAACCCGACATGACAGAGTGGGCCAATATCTGCACTGGAAAATCTGCAACTTCTACAGGATGGAAACTGAAAGAAACTGGTATGAACACCACCCAGACCCGGTTACGGAGATAGGACCTGTTACAATTCTATTGGATTACACAATGCCCACTGACAGAACAATCAAAGCCAACAGCCCAGATATTGTTATTAAAGACCACAAACAAAAACGGTGCCTCCTTATTGATATGGCAGTCCCTACTGACTGCAATGTATCTTTGAAGATATTCAAAAAGCTGTCAAAATACAAGGACCTTGAAATAGAAATCTCGAAAATGTGGCATATGAGAACATCAACAATCCCTGTTGTAGTTGGAGCCCTAGGACTGGTTGGAAAAGATTGCACTAGACTAATTGAAGGGATTCCTGGAAGTCCATGCCTCAAGGAGATACAAAAAATTGTTCTGACAAGTACAGCCCACACTTTATGAAGGGCTTTATCTATGTAATTTTTTTTTTTTTTTTTTGTCAGTGGAAAGTATCATTATGCCATTTCTAACCTTAGGTCCCTGGGCGGGACCCGGAAAGAAATGTGTAAACGCCAGAAATCAAAGAAAATAAAAATAATAATAATAATAATAACAACAACAACAAAAAAGCCTTGCCTAGTAACTGATATGACTTACCCACCGTCTGTAATATAGCAACCACGGAATTTAAAAAAATATATATATATCGATGTATAAAGACCTGGAAATCAAAATAGAAAAAAAAATGTGGTAATTAAAAACAAGAATAGTTTCAGTCATACTTGAAGTGTTTTGGAAGGGTTAAAAAAACAACAACAACAAAAAAAAAAACACGGCAGCACATTGAAAATCCCAGCTTACGAGAAATACAAAAGGTTGTCTTCATATGTACATCCAGCACAGTAGGAATAATTTTGTCTATGTAACGCTAGTGATGTTATGGGAGTTCGACAAACAAATCATGAAATGTAACCATAAAAAACACCCCACTGTCTCAGCTCTTGGCGAAGATTTGGTAAGCAGTGCGACCATAGCAGAAATCGAAATATAATAATAATAATAATAATAATAATAATAATTATTATTATTTTTTTTTTTTTCCTTTGATTTCTGGCGTTTACACATTACTTAGAGACCTAAGGTTAGAAATGGCATCATGACACTTTCCATTGACAAAAAAAAAAAAATTACATAGATAAAGCCCTTCATAAAGTGTGGGCTGTACTTGTCAGAACAATTTTTTGTATCTCCTTGAGGCATGGACTTCCAGGAATCCCTTAAATTAGTCTACTGAAATCTTTTCCAACCAGTCCTACGGGTCCAACTACAACGGGGATTATTATTATTATTATTATTATTATTATTATGTCCTTTGATTACTGTTGAATACACATTTACTTCCGGGTCCCAACTAGAGCCCTAATATCAGAAATGGCTTCATGACATTTTCACTGATCATTTTGGTAAAAAAAAAAAAAAAAAAAACAACTAAGATCACACACATTTTATATAGATTAAGCTCTTTTTCATGTGTGAGCTATACTTATGAATACATTTTTTTTATTTCTTTAAGGCATGGACTTCCAGGAATCCTTAGTGAATCTATCGACACCTTTTCCAATCAATCTGAAGGCTCCAATTACAACTGGAATTATTGATATCATCATGTGTCACATCTTGGCGATTTTCACTTCAAGATCCTTGTATTTTGATAGTTTTTTGATGATCTTCAGAGATACATTACAATATACATGCACTGCCATGTCAATAGGAAAGCTCATCCTGTTCTTGTAGTCTTTCATCACGAGGTATGGACGATTAGCTTTGATTATTTTATGTACATTGTATATTATTATTATTATTATTATTATTATTATCTGTAGTAGTAGTAGTATTTTCTCACATAAGCTCTTAAAATTTGGTAATTAGCCTTGGTATCTTTCCATAACCTTCATTGACCTGCAATTTTTCTCTAATTGTTCATCACTTTTTGAATTATTCCTTCCGCTTCTAAAAGACTTCCTTTCTCTAACAGTTCTACTGAACAATAAATATCAATTTTCTTTATGCATGTTACCGGACCAAGTGCACTAATGCCAACTGGAATGATTAGGATCTTCTTCAACTTAAAAAAGCCATGCGAATTCAAACTGCAAAGTAAACGTCTTTAACGTTTTTTTATTTATTAGAATAAAAAGGTATACAGCAAATTTGACATAGCGTTAATGCTCAGAGTAATCACCATCTCCATCCAGATACTTTTCTTTAAAGTTCCCCCTGCAGCGCAATGACCTGGATATAGAAATTGCTCGTCTTTGACGTAAAGAAGTCTGTGAGTTCCTGCCACAGGTTTGCCTCATTTTCGAAAGATTTTCCACGAAGGTAGTTTTCCGTGGAATGGAAAGAGATGGCAATCTGTTGATTCAAGTTCCTGGGAGATAAGTGGAAGGTAGAGTGTCTCTTACCAAAGTCGCATGATATATCTGACCACCCACCCCACATGTGGTCTGACATTGTTAAGGAGGAACAGTACATATTAACCAATGCCGGCTTCTGTTTCAGTGGCCGTTGCACAAGTTCCAACTGCTACGATTACAGATCCGCAGTGATGGTTTGGCCCGTTGGTAGCAGTTCATAGTGCACCACTTGAAGACTGGTCCAACAGGTACAGAGTATGATCTTGCGTGGGTGTAGATGTGGCCTTGTGGTGAGAG